GCCTGATAAACACATCAAACTCATGACCTGAACAATGCTGGTCGATCGGTGTGATTGTGTTGTCATGTCTTGGTCACTGGTTCCACCGGCTTTTCTACTATCATGCGGGTGGATACAACGCTCGGAAGGAAAACATTCGGACCGTACCTCAGTGGTTTGTTTGACCCGACGAGAATCAACAAGTAGACGCTGCATAACAGCAGTGTCACTAACCTTCTTGATCTTCAAATGATTATCCCTTCTGTTGTTGAATACACATGTCGTAAGGTTGATTGTCTCGTCTTTACCGATGTGGTTAGCTATGCCTTCATTGCATCAAGGTAATTCGCAAATTTTTAGTTAACTACTTCAAGGAACCTTCAAAACTAGCCGATTTTAGTTCTTTTACGGTGGACTTGATCAGGCCCGAATTTCCACCAGATGAAAAAACGCTGGTGGTCAATTTAGATTTCGTCCTGTCACTAAGGCGAATCGCAGCTGAAAAACCGACACCTTCTCAGAGATGTGTGGTAAATAATCGGTTGACTTATTGCTGGGCAACGTTTCGCTTTTGATACGAAAGCTTCGTGAGGCCAAGTGAATAGGTAAGCAGGTCGATTGGGTTTTAATGCAGTCAGGGAACCAATCCGTGAGATTTCTTATGATTAGCCGACTTGATTAGTGCTGGGTGTCAGTCTGAGGTTGGTGTGGATGACTAACACTTACGATAGAGTGGTTAGGGGGAGTTGTCTTCATGTTGAACCCGGATTTTGTGGCCTTGCTTTTTCTGTGTCCAAAGCGAAACGTTGACCAGCAACTAATCAATCGACTGTTTACCAAACCTCTCTGAAACGAAGACTACTCAATCGGTCTCAGACGTTTACCAATTGATTGAAAATCAATATCCTTGTTGGGAACACCACGCACTCACGAAAGTCCAGGGAGTTTAGAACCCACAACCTTCGGCCAGTGGTTGGACAATTAAGCAATCGGCCAAAAGCGGCTGAACAGCACTCCGATTATCTCTCACAGGATGAATCACCACTTATCGCTTAATCACGTGGTCACTGGCTCTTCGAGTGACGACTTCTCAGAAGGAGTAGTAGTTTGAACACTTAACCTTTCAATAACGAGCGGCTGATTAGTGATGTGATTAGTTCTCACGTAGACAGAATATAACGCCACTCATGCTTCAGTCACACCACGTGGTCATTTATTGACTGGCTACTTGCATGACGTCCTAGATGGAACTTTCACTCATTTTGTGAAATTATCCTTCATCTGAGCCATTTATAGATTGAGAGTATGCGCCATCCACGCATTTCGTCAACACCTCAATCCAGACCCAAATGCTCGGTTGACCCTACGAAGTGATGCCTATAAAAGTTGTCATTGTCCTCTAGTAAGCCCACTGAGGTAACCAATAGCCAATGGTCTTCTGAAAAGCTACACTCAGCGTTGTACTTCTGGTCCCCGACCCTTCAACTGACTGTGGAACATCTTTGACTTCCTCTAGAAGATAGAGCATTTGTTGTCTAAGCAGATCACAAGCCTCTTGTTTTCTGGCAACCATTCCCCTCTGGTGAAGCACGTGAAATTCACTCCACTGTCAGTGTACAGCATACATTTGACTTATTGGTGAACCCACTGCTGCATGTGCCCTATCTTGCATTAGTATGCACAATCCAAGGCCTTCATCAGCTGATCTATCGAACATCATCTATGCATTTTCGGACATACATTCTGATACTTTATTTCGATTTTTCTATCTCTTGCTCTTGTAATCCAACGGTCACTTGTGACGCCTAAACGGAAAATCCCAAGCGTGTTTCTTCCTGTTTTTAATCACTTTCAATCCGCATCTCATTCAGGTATTCGGGCAAAACCAAATTTTATCAATGGTCAGCGCAAGGACATTCGTCCGGCGATGAAACATTGTGTCGACGAAGTAAAGTTCAGACAGAAACTATCACATATTCAAGATACTCCACACTTCATGACGTGTGTTTTAGGCACACTCATGTGATCTCATTACAAACTGATCCTTGAATTGCACGACACCATAAATACCTGGGGCGGTTACCAGCAGAAACAGTGCTACACTCCTTCGTGATCCCTTTGAAGCACCATCTAAGGATCACTCATGCTGTCTCATTCAAATGCCCCTCTGCTTTTATTCTTATTGGTATTGCTCAGATCCCACTACGAATATCACGTGACAGGCACTACAGAGCTAGCAGTCGTTTCGACAAGATACTTCTGACTGATCATTTGAAATTCGTTTAGGGTGAGGAGCTACACACCCATCCAGGTAACGACACGGTTACCAAGTCACCTTCCCCAATTCCTCCCCCCCGTTGAACTAGTGTTTCCTTCGTCTAGGACGCATTACCAAACCATCTACCTGCTATGTCCACTTATAGTTACGGGCTCGCTTAGTTTATCGAACGTCGTTCCCTCTGTGTGCTCTGATTGGTTGGTCTGTAGAGCTTCCTGCTCTTTTCACAGTCAGCTTATTTGTGCAATAATTCTTTTTAGATTTGCTGTGAATAGCCTTTTTTCTCGCGTCCACCCACCCACAAGCACGCTCAGTTCGAAAGTCCATGCGTTTTGATTTTCGTTTGAACTTTGTGGTAATCTGGGAACCAGGGATTGGCACCTTGATCTTAGATCTAGCGGACAGCAACAGCAAAATCACACGCGCTGGCAACTGTCGTGTATCTAGGCAGGGATCCCAGGTAGAGATCCATCAGCAGTTGCTGATTATGACAGACAGAGCAGCCCTTGTCCAGAAGCGCTCTGGAGTCCAAGCCGTCGGCTTTGGTGCGAAAATCCATAGCAATAAAAACAATATAAAATAACCGTTCAGCCGTAATACTCAGCGCCAAGCTGTTGTGTGCCTCGAAAGAAGCACGGGGTATGGGATACTGCCAGGTTACCCAAGCCTAGACAGGAACAGTCAAGATATTCGAACTGAGTTCGAACCATGGACATTCCAGTCAGGAAGTTCGCGTCTTACCCACTCAGTACAGCTCTTATCTCTTGAAAAATGTTCGTCAGTGAACAAAACTGAAAAAACCCCGCTTGACTGACAGGCTGCTTAGAGCTGGTTAGGAGGAGCCCCCGTTAGGACAACAAAGGAGTGCCACCTCTTTTAATACCAGAGATTCGGGTTGAAGTTATGAGAAACAAATTTTTTTGGAAGCCTCCACCCCACCCCGTTCAATAAAGACCGAAGGCTCATCGCGGCCGAACTTTCCAGAAACTACCTAGAAACTCTTAACAAGATGCAGTTCATTTACTTGTTCCTCAGACAACCTTCACATTTCGAGAGCTCTTTCTGTTAGTTACAAGTATACTTCCGGATACATGGTATCCTGACAGTGCCTGTGCGACGCAGAGGGATCTTTTCCAGATAAGTTCCGCCGCCAATGCAAAAAGTACATGTGCGAAAATTGATCACCGCCACTTGCTGCCGGTCTAGTTTAATGAACGCACACAACATTGACCTAGTTTTGATGAAAACAATTTCTTATCCACATCTGAGCTCATTTTTTGCAAAAATTCTCTCCGTTCAGACGTAAAATCTTGAACCAACTTTCTGACGCTTTCAACTCTCGTCCGTGAAAACGAGAGTAATGCTTCTTTGCAAAGTCACGGAGTGATCCATCAGCAACGTTTATGCAACAATGGCCACCTTTCACACTTTCAACTGTTTCTGACAGGTGGTCTAATGCCAGACTGTCGGCAAGAAATCGGTCTTCGAAAGGGGACTTGGCAGGAGCGCTCTAGGATGGGTTTAGGACAGTAATTCTATTCATTTATTGCTGGCCCGAAAATTTTGCAAAAATCAAATTCTGCTCAGAGGAATTATCTATTAGCCACACGACCGCTGTTGACTGGAAGACCTTTCTTCGCGAAGTTTGCGCCTGACAGCTTTTGCAGACTCCAACAGTTATCGGCGGCCTGGGTCTACACGTCGAGATCGATGAAGCGCTTATATCTGGGCGTAAATAAAAACCACCGGGGCGAGTCCTTCCCCAGCAGTGGATTTTCGGGGAATCTGCCTGGAAACTAAACAGGTGTTTATGTATGTAGTACCAGATCGAACTGCGGCCACTTTGATGGACACAATCCAGGCCTGTATCGCTCCCGGCTCAATCATCCTCTCAGATATGTGGGCATCATACCAAGGAATCGAAACGATGATTGACATGAATTATACTCGTGAAACGGTTAATCGTACCCAAAAATTTGTGCACCCAACGACTGGAGCTCACACACAAACCATCGAATCTCTTTGGCACGTCTACAAGATGCAGAGTAAACGCCAGTGCGGCACACACCGATCTTTAGCTGACAGCTGCCTGTGTGAGCTCGTTTGGAGACAAAGGCACCGGAAAACGGACCTTTTCATGCAAATTATTAATGGAATATCCCTATTTCGCCCTCTTCCATAAAAACTAAAAGTACAAATTTTATATACTCTCTTTTCCAACCTTTTTTTGTGGCGGGGCTTATCTGGAAAAGACCCACGCAGAGATATCTTCCCCCGAAACTTTTATAGGACAAGNTTGTGTATATCATCCAGTGTGTTCGCCATCGGTACCGACGCACTGTCAACAAGCAATCGATGGGCTGCAGACAGCGAGGACAGCTTCAAGTAGACTTGTCACGTGATCGGACTAATGACCAACCGCTCAGGGCCGATGGATACGATATTCAACTACGAACTAACTAAGGTCTGTACTGGAATCTCATTCGACGTTCGGCTGTTACGTACAGTAAAATCAGTGAGAAATTTCCTTGCTCTACTTGCAGGACCGGCGGAACTCATGGCCAATACACGTTCGCGGGCGAATATTGTATTGGGTGGACACCATTGGTCATATATTGAACGATCAGAGGATCGGGTGCACTTATCGCCTGCCCATCAGGTCACTGTTGGCTTCCAGTAAAACCAAAATTCTGCCAAATGGGTCGCTTAACCACCAGAGCTGTCTGAAACCACTTCGCCCAGGGTCCCCCCTCAACAGTCTTTTTAACGTCGCAAAAACAAGTCATTCTTTTTTTAAAAAAAGAAACTCTTCTAGTTTGGGTATGATTTCCGTTCTAATCAGCTACTGGATGAAACAGTTTGACCAATCACACAGGGTCTGCCCTAGAGAGTAATCAACGATGTTGACAAGCATTATGTCGGGGATATGTCGAAAAACTGGTCACTTTTTGTCACCAACGCAGATCACTCGGCTCATGTGTGAACTGAAAACGTACATGAAGAAAGAGTCACGGGAGTGTGGAGTTGTATAATATCGTCATGGAGGTCTGTTCTTCTTCCTAACTTTGAAAATATCAACATTGTCATCGAAACAAGCTATTGAAACAGCGAAAACACAGTGACACAGTAAGAACAACACGGGGAACAATGAGGGACAGGGATAGATGGGTTTGTTTTGACATGAATGCCTAATAGGAAACTAACGCCCACGCTTGAGAATCTTGTTGAGTTAGTTCCACACAAGCAGGTTTGTTTTTTTTAGGTCTCCGGTGGGTAGTTTGAAAACTTTTCCACGAGGTCTTCAATCTGAGTGGCAGATGGGCTGGATATGCCTTTAAGCGCACGACATCGTCCCTCGGGCAGAGCGGCCGTGATGATTGCACGTGCAATGGACACGGAAACAGAGCGAATGTTGGAAAGAGGCGGGAAGAGACGACCGAGTTCGTAGTCCGAATCTCTGACCAACGAAGCAAGTGTCTTCGGGGAGGGGGAGAAGATAGGAAGCGGAATAACGATGAGAACGTTACGAATGGAAATGCGAAAGGCTCCCGTAAGGCGCCCAACTGAGGACAAATGAGAACAAAGAATAAGACTAACAAGAAATCATCCCTTCCCCAGGCGAACAGACGATTGATCCCCGTGGGCGGGTAAAGTCTTAGGGCTCGGAGATCATGAAAACGTCAGAACTTGTGCAAACCTTTCAAACGAGCACAATAATTGGTACATTGTATCTGACTACATTTGAAACTAGCGCGATGCGATGTGAGTAGGCGGCCACGGTAGTGTGAACTAGTGGTTTACTTACAAAGGACAACCGTGTGTGTATTCACCGACGTTGACACATGCCGGTTGTCCCACACAAGGCATTCGCGGTTTGATATGCACCGTTTATTGTTTTGATTCGCACAGTGCCAGTACTGGGAAGGGGGGGCTATTCATGCACGCAGCTCGCGGTCAGGTCAGTCCTGGTTCTCTGCCTATCCACTGACTGATAGGTTGGGCATTTGGTACCGCGCAAGTCACATCACAGCGCCGGGTACCACAGCAACGCTCGAGATCACAGATCAAAGTCACTGGATAGTTCTGGACCAGTTATCGTTCCACGTTCGACATTGCATGCCACTTCATAGTGCATCGCGTTAGAGTCTTGCTAAGGCGGATGCGAGAAAATCTAAAGTAGCGTAGGCCCAGAGGATCGGCCTGTTTAGTAAATCCAAGGATAAACAATATCAGCAAACGTAGTTATGTGTGACGTGCCTTCAGCAGAAGTTGAGTGAGGTACCATTCTATAAAGATCAACATCATGATCACCTGCAAGAACCACGTACCTGTCGTACAGTGGTTGTAGCTGCCACAGTTTCGTACACCGATGTTTTGGAGAGTCGGGGTAGGCAGTTGCGAATTGGGGGCGGGAGCTGGTAAATTGGCGCGTAAATACAAGTCCGTCAGTGGACTTTTAGGTGGGGCTATTGGGAAGCGGACTATGCACTGAAGGTAGTAACGCGATTGGCCATTTATGTGGTCTCCGTCCAGAAAACGGCAATGACCAGTGCAAATGAACTTGCCGGTTATGGTTTTCCTAATTCGCTGACAGGTCACTGTTTGACTTATTCCGGCTCGTTTCCGCCGTTCACGTGGTTGTGCGAAAAGGACCCTTTGAGGAAGTCGGTCGACTGACATTCGCAGCACGTGGCCAAGCCAGCGCAATCTATGGTGTGTGATCAGTTCATATGCGTGGCCGTTATTCCTTCCGAAAACCGTTCGACGGTGTTTCCGGTGTTTTCAACAGACTGGCGCAATGCTCCGAAGACACTGGTGGTCAAACATTGAAAGTCTTTTGATGCCCTTATGAGCAGCGGCCCGTATAATAATATAACACCTACGCCACAGGTGATACAAGTTCACGAAAGCTAGTCTGGCCTTCCCAATCCGGATGGAGATATCATCTTCCGCGAGACCACCGAGGCTGATACAACTTCTCAGGTAGAGAAATCTGTCTACTACCTCAATCGGCTCATCCAAAAGCATGAGTCTAGGGTTCGGGCCCAAACCAGCCTTGCAACCACACTTTGCAGGTGTAAAGCGCATGCCAAACCGTGAGCCAGAATTATTTAGATTATTTAATATTGCTTGCATTACTACGGGGTCGGATCCCAGAAGAGCTATGTCGTCTGCGCACTCGGTATCTGTGAGCGAACGCCCTGGGAGCACTGCGACTCACATGCACCAGAGGCTGGTAGTAAGACTTCCATAATCGTGCCAATGACGACGTTGAAGAGCAAAGGTGAAAGAGTCTTGCCTGACACCAGTTGATTTAAACTCCGGTGAAAGCTTCTATAAAAACACCAAGACTATTAATAACTTCAATATGGGAACAATTTTAGCGCCTCGGTGTTCTTCTTCCGCGAACCACCGGGACTGATACAACCGCTCAGGTAGAGAAATCTGTCTACTACCTCAATCGGCTCATCCAAAAGCATGAGTCTAGGGTTCGGGCCCAAACCAGCCTTGCAACCACACTTTGTAGGTGTAAAGCGCATGCCAAACCGTGAGCCAGAATTATTTAGATTATTTAATATTGCTTGCATTACTACGGGGTCGGATCCCAGAAGAGCTATGTCGTCTGCGCACTCGGTATCTGTGAGCGAACGCCCTGGGAGCACTGCGACTCACATGCACCAGAGGCTGGTAGTAAGACTTCCATAATCGTGCCAATGACGACGTTGAAGAGCAAAGGTGAAAGAGTCTTGCCTGACACCAGTTGATTTAAACTCCGGTGAAAGCTTCTATAAAAACACCAAGACTATTAATAACTTCAATATGGGAACAATTTTAGCGCCTCGGTGTTCTCTTTCACAAGAAGCATACTTCCTTACAGGCAGTAATGGAACAAGAAGCATTTTCTAATCGTTCTAGCATAGGAAAAAATGGTCCGTCACAAATGACGCAGTGCAGTGATCCAACTTGTTTGCAAAGCAAAAACGTTTAGGTCGTTCCAGTTTTGTCATTCTTTTGGATTGCAGTACTTTTTCGAAGCCATGCCACGTAACTTATCAGCGCCTGAATAAGTGCCGACTTGTCAAAGACAAAACTAGTGGACAAAAAAGTCGTTCAGCTGTAGCACTCTTTCGGCGCCTAACTGTCATGCCATCCGAGGACTGGGATACTGTCAGGTTGTTCAAGCCTAGTCAGAGGAAGTCGAGAGGTAGAGGTCAGGTTCGAACCATGGAGCTTCCGATCGGTAAATTTGCGCCCTAACCACCTGCGCCATCTCGCCGAAACTAGTGCACAATGAAGAGTTGGACGAATATTTGTAAAACGGGCCATCCTAGACGATAAAAATAATACTAATAAAAATAGTAATAATAACGGTATAAATAATAATCGTTCAGCTATAAGACGCTTCCGGTGCCGAACTACCGTGCCAACCGAAGAGAGAGCTGAGATATCTCCAGGCTGCTCAAGTCTCTCACAGGAACATATCCGAGATGGTGCGGTGGGATTCGAAACACAGACATTCAAGTTCACGCCTTAACCACTGAGCTATCCCACGCTGAAGTGGATGCACGGAGGGCGAGAGTACAAGGAGAAACACAAAGCTGCCAAACCGGTCGAGAACTGAAGTGCAATGCTAATGAAGGGGACAGAAAAACTGCCTGCACAGGCGGTCCGGATAACATCCAAGCAGTCGAAATCGATCACTAGGAACATGTTGATCAGAGTGAATATAACAATTCAAACACAGCGACCAAAAGTGACGTTCAAAAAGTCATTTCATGTTTTCGGTTGGGTAATTTGGCTCCTAATGGATTGAGAGATTCTAGGTTGTAATTCTCTCCTGCCAAGCACTAGGACACTACAACATCACGTGATACACACTTGTATCTCTGCTGTGCGTGGAGCTTCACATACGCGCCTGCGTATCCAACGCTCACAAGATAAATACATTTATGGTGATTCTTGGAATGGACGACGGAGAGTAGCGGTCAAAGCATGATTAGTTATGTGAGACTTCTGGCTGAAACTTTCACGCCCGTCACCTCAACAGTGGGTGCGCTGCTCTGTGAGGCAATAAGAGAAGTCAGATTTACTATCTTGTAGCTCCAGGATCAAAATGGACCTACATCCACACTTCTACCGTCTCACGCGTTGGAAGTCATTTTGGGTTTCCTAACAAGAAGGGGTTGTTTAATTTGCTCATTCTATGGAGCATCCGGTCTCACATTCCTACCATTTCCAATAAGTTCGCTCGCTAAACGTCTCCTGGAGAGTGCAAGTTGGAGAGAAACGCTTGTTGCTCCGAATATGCTATGAGCAAGGCATCTGAGAGAGTGAGTCGTGAAGGATGCTACGTGAGCCCGATATAACTCAGTCATTAAGTCACGAACTTAATTTACCGGAAGGTCCGTGGTTCGAACCGAACCTCAGCATCTCGGGCTGCGCAACCTGGCAGAATCTCAACCTTTGTACATGGCGGTTATGCACCGAAGGGGCGTTACATTTGGCGGACTATTACTGTTGTGTGACTGAAGAACAGATGCATCTAATTTAAGGCCGATACTGTGTGTGTGGGCGGGTGGGGGGCAAAAGTGCATCAGTTGTTGCGCTTTCTCCTACACTGACGATCCAGAGGGATGGAGTTTTACACAGTTCGAAACAAATGACAGCTATGAGATGAAGATACCCGTTCGTCTGGTGATATGAGCGGTCGAACTAAACCCAGCTAGAAAGGGGGAGAGAGTAATATCTGAAGTGTTCTAGAAAAACTGGCAGACTACTGAACACCCTTTTGGAGGAATTATCAGCAACAGTTACCACTAGAAAAGACTGGCGCGCAGTAATGTACGAAAAATAGAATTGTTCAGCTGGAGTACTCTTTCAGTGCAACTCGACGGGGAGACGATGGATAGGATAGTGGCAACAAGCCAAATGAAAAGCTAGTGTTGAGTTTGGGACATGAACTTACGGGTGAACAGCAGACGGCTGCTAGTGCGTCCAACATGATATTCGTACATACTGTTTGGGAATACGTACATTTATATGGGAGATAGATGGGGAATTGCGCTGAGCCTGCTGTTGTGAATGCGCGTACATTCGTGGGGAGTTGGGCTGATAATCCATTACAATCAGCGTCGAAATACTTACTCCACAGCCAGGTAGCGACCGTATCTGCACCGGAGTCAGCGGCATTCGGTGCAGTTCTCAGCCGACCGGATACGGAGGAACATTTTAGGGGGAGTGCCGAAGGGAACTGAATCGATCGCTCTCACCTTTCGTCCGTGTTTCTTATCTTATCTTTCACCCGTTTTTCTGCAGGGTAACATGGGAGGCATCACGGAAGACGAGGAACAAGATGAATTATCAACCGTCCCAATGCGAACTCCTGCCACGTTGTATTGTATCGATCATGGATTGCAGGTTTTGGTGACGCTCATTTGCATATCTGTTATTAGTCGGTGTGTCATGAGCCTGGTGCTTGGTGATTTTGCCCGAGACATCTACCCGGTTAAAGCGCTAAGTTACTGACCCACAGTTCCGTGGTTCGAACCCGACCTCTGCCTCTCGACTTCCCCTGTTTAGGCTTGGGAAAACTGGCAGTATCCCAGCACTCGTGCTTCCTTCAGGTGGCATGACAGTTAGGCATCAAAACGGTGCTGCAGCTGAACGATTATATTGGTCAATTCCATTCAAAACTCGATCAAAGACAGCAGAATGCCAAATAGTCGTTTC